AGAGGGAGAAGGGGGACCCAGGCTGGTGGGGGAAAGTGGGAGAAGGGACTCGGGCTGGTGAGAAAGGGAGAGGGAGAAGAGACCTGGGCTGGTGCGGTGGGTGGAGGGATAAGGGGCCCAGGTTGGCTGGGAGAGGGAGAAGGGACCCAGGCTGATGCGGCTGCAGCCCAGCCCTCCCTGGTGTCCAGGGGGAGAGCCAGCATTGCCTACCCCCCATGAGGGGGGGTGGGCAAGCACAGTAAGTAGGGGACTGAGCCCCCCCAATAGCCATTTAAAAAATTGCCCCAACACAGTGCTTGTTTGGATGATTCTTCTTTCTTGCATTTTACCCTCACAACTCTTTAGATGGCCTAAATCCTCCCAGCCTTACTCACTGACTTCAGGGAAGCTGCCTGAGTAAGCATGATTTGTCTCTTTTCTTGGAGCTATCAGATCTGGTTCCTCTTCCCAGTCCCACCACCACTGGCCTGTTGTGTGAGGTCAGCAACTTTCTTGTGTGTCTGTTTCTTTCCTTGTCTGTTTAGCTTGTAAGTCGTTTATAATAAGGTCTGTTTCTATGTATTTGTACAGCAACAAGCTCAACAGGGATCCAGTCTTGGGGACACTAACCCCTAAGGATAAATCTATAGCATTTCCTTCGGGCCCCTTTTTTCACTCCACTAGAAAATACAACACAAAATGTTAGATTCCATAATTCCCAAGAAGGAAGCAGTGTCCCCCACACCTCAAGATTATGCTAGTGCTATTTTGATAGGTTCATCCAGTTTTTAATGGTAGCCTCTGATCATCAAACTGAGAGTGACTTACATTCTGTTCTGTTTTGCTGTAAAATCTGTTAGAAGATTAGCCACAGTTAGCATGAACTCAGCTGTCAGTCACACTTTTCTTTCTGACAATACTAATGAATTTGAATTTAAACAGCAACAGCAAAGACTGAAGCCAAACACTTTGAGAGTGCATATTACAGGTTTTCCCTTTCCTCTTTGTCAGTGTTCCTCAGAGCCCCCCTCACGTCACCATCACCATCGCTTCACCTTACTACTTTCCTTGTCCGTTGCCAAATTGTCAGACACTCATTGGGACTGGGCTGGCTCTAGCAAATGTATTGCACTCAAGGCCATCTCATTTTGGAGCAAGGGCCCAAAAGAATATGGAAGATCAATGTATTTGCTACCCTACCCCTTTTGTTTAACTGAGAATTTATTTAAATTTACGGTATCTTTTCTGAAGATATGATGCATGTGCTATAGTTTTATATAATGTGTACATTCAGAGCAAGAGCACCTCTCTTGTGTTAAATGTAAGCTCTCAGCAGTACTGCATAGCACGTGGCTATTTTTAGAAACTGTCTTGCTAGATATGTCCTCAATGAAATGTAGAAAGCAGCAATTCTGAGCAGATTCATTAATTATTTAAAAGGTCAACGTAGAAATTCACAGGTCTTGCTTAATCTATTCATTACACAAAATGCATACACAATAAATTTGTACTAAATTAAAGTTTAACAGAAATGAGAAGGGCAGTTTATTGCTGAGCTTAGCTGTTGACTATTCTGTTGATTACTCTTTAGGGATAACTCTTGTTTAAAAAAAATAAGTCCCCCTTCTCTCAATTCCTCTGAAAGCTACTCTTCAGCACTTTCCTTTTCCTAAGAGGGATAAGCAATTTATATTACGCTCGTGACGATCCAAAAATCTATCACCTGGGGGACCAAAAGCTGGGAGTCAGTTTCTAATAGCAGTCTCCCAAATCACAGAACAATGATATAAGTCCCATCAGGAAAGCTTTTAAGCGCATACTTAACATTGTGCTTTATGTGAATTGGTCCCCTAGTTTTGATAGAAGAACAGCACACAAAACAAAAGCTATACAGGTTGAATCTCTAGTCTGGTACCCTTGAGACCTGACCAGTACCGAACCTAGAGAAGGTCAATATTGTCAAGCAGCATTACCAACACTTCCACTGCTTACTGGGCTCTTAGAAGACATTTAGGAGTGAATTAGAGCTAAATAACAGCACAGAACACTGAGCGCCAGGACTGGGGGTTGTAAACAAACTTTATGGGACTGCGGGAAATTGGCCATACCCATAATAAGTGAACATCCAGCTAACAAAACTCATGCCAGACCACAGATGTTGCTGGACTAGAGAGGTTCAACCTGTATAGATAATTTGTTTGTTACAAAAAATTATCTTGATCCTTACATGTGCATGGACCCATACACACACTGTGATGATCTCTTATGAATTGTTTTTCCATATAGCTACAAATTGTCGGTGAATGTTATCAGTTTTTCATTCTATTTGTACTACGGTGGTTTTCGGGTAGTTTTGCCTGTTTCTATATTATTTTGAGGGTGAGAATAGGGATGGTAGGTAACTGAATAGTCATGTAACCTCATCAAATGTTAACGGTTACATGACTATTCGATAGTCCCCAGGGGCAGGGCCAGCAGCAAGTGCTCTCCCGGCCCTACTGTCAGGGAGCCCCCTCCCACACCGACTGCTGCCTCTATCTCACAGGCAGCAGTACAGGGAAGCAGCAGCCCCTGTCCGTGGGGTCCTGAGCTCCCCACAGACAAAGGCTGCTCCAACATCCCATGGAGCAGCCTCTGTCCACAATGAGCAAGCAGGCGGCTCTGCGGGAGCCAATATGCATGGACAGCTGGCTTGAAAGCTGGCTGCCCACATGTATTGCCTCCAGCTTTCCCTCCACCCGACACCCACAACCTCCACGCTGTTGCCTCTCTATCAGAGGTAGCAGTGCTGAAGGGAAGGGAGGAGACAGGCAGCTCCACCGATTCAGTGCTCATGAGGAGCTGGCTTTAAAGCTGGCTCCTCACAGGCATCAGCTCCACCTCCCACTTGCTGCCTCTGATACAGAGGCAACAGGAGGGGGGGAGTGCATAGATTAACCGATAAATCCAGGTTTTTTCGGTTAATCGTGTAGTTGTCTACATGTTGATGTCCTAGGTGAGATGTGTTTTGTGAATATTAAAGAAATAGTCAATGCTGGAAATAGTTCATTGGTTACAATCTTAAATATTTACAATTTTTTGTAAATTTATATTTAAATATATCTTGGAGCTTCTGTCTTGAAATATTTTCTGTGTGGGGTGAGTGTGTAACCCACACACCTAGGCTGCGTCTAAAATGGCATGATTTTGCGGAAATACTTTTAATGGAAAAGTTTTTCCGTTAAAAGTATTTCCGCAAAAGAGCATCTAGATTGGCAAGTGCCTTTGCGCAAAAGATTTGCTTTTGCGCAAAAGCATCCGTGCCCAGTATAGATGTGCTTTTGCGCAAGAAAGCTCCGATGGCCATTTTACCTGAGTACTGTAAGTGGCACCTAGACCACTGCAGCAGTTAAGATGAAGAGACCTCTGCAGCATGGGTTGGGAGCCAGCTGGCTCAGAGGGTAGAGGCTCCTATAGTCAGCTTCTCAGGTCCCAGGTTCAAATCCACCGTGGTGGTGGTTACAAGTGCATCCTTGTGTAGAGGTATAGGTAAATGTATTTCTTCATTAGTTTCAGGAATGTATCCAGTTTGCTTGTTTGGTTATCCTGAAGTAGGGATGTAAAATCCCGTATGATGGGCTAATCGGTTAAGTGCTATGTTTAATTGATTACCTGCTTGCACGGGGGCAGGCTGGAAGGCTAGGCTGGAGCATCCCCTCTGCCACCCTCCCCACACATACACCCCTGTCATGGACAGGGGCTAGTCTAACCAGGCTGGAGCACCTCTTGCCCACAACGGTCCCCTCCAGGCTGGAGTAGCCCCTTGCTTATGCCCCCATCATTTAACCATAACAGGTAAGTATCACCGTTAACCATTCACATCCCTACCCTGAAGCCTTTAATGTTTTTACTAACTTGGTAAGTAATGTTTTGGGGTTCAGCTCAGACGAGTAAGAAGCTGTGCTTTGTAACCATGGTGTGTCTATGCTTTTCTAGCTTGATTCAGAACCTGACATGAGCAGCATGTTCTCATAGCATGATTTAACTGTTGTTCAAAGTGTTTCTCACCAGTTCTCATTTCCAGCATGATTAACCAGACTGGCTAGGACCCTTCACAAAGATCACAGTGCACAGTTCCTTTGTCTCTTAGGTGAAGGATGACATTTTTTTCTTCTCTCTGTTTATATTTGCCAAAATATGCTGATCCTGCTTCAAAGGCAGGGTGGCTTCCTGAGAGTGCCATCTCCATCAAACTTGTTAAGTAATCTTTTCACCACTTAGTCTCCTGCTGGCTTTGTTTACCATGCATGTAAATGGGCTTTGCTTTGTCTTTGGTCACACCTTGCTTAATTTACATTGGAGACACATTCAGGCAGGTGGAATAATATTCCTTTGTCTGGAACTGGCATACCTTAGGCACTAATAGCCAAATACATGTTAAGAACGTATTTCCAGCACATATCTGTGAAATCCTTTGTGGGTTTGCCGTACATATATCATGCAAGAATATTAATGATCAGAGTTATTGCTGTGCAGTGATATTACATGCCACTTTTTACTTGTATATATCATATCATGACCACAGTGTGCCAGCTGACACTTGGATGCTCCTAAAGTGGAAATGACCTGATAATATGAAACTTCAGTGGCACTGACCAGAAGTGGTTTGCAAGTAGTGACAATCCCACAGAGTTAAAATGCAAAATAGCAAACTCTAGCTACTGTAAACTGGTACAGAATAGACCAACACTCTGCTTGTACATGCACATAACTTACCTTAAGTCTGGAATGAAGAAGCTTCCTATGTTTGATACATTGTGTTCATATGCTGTTGTGGTGGACTGTGTAGTTTTTATCAACCTCCTGCATGAATAAGATGTATTCTAACATCAGGGATTTAGTAAATTTTTGAAAATGTAGTTGAGCAGTCTCAGCAAGGATTAATGAGAATATGTGATGCTTTAATGGAAAGATTAATTTTGATTACAAGTACATGTGTGTGTACAGATATATATTTTTTCATCTCTTGATTTTGTTTTTAGATCTGATGTAGTTGTTCTGTGTTTTTCAATTGCTAATCCTAATTCCTTGAATCATGTAAAAACAATGTGGTATCAAGAAATCAAGCACTTTTGTCCTCGCACACCTGTTATTCTGGTTGGCTGCCAATTGGATCTTCGTTACGCTGATCTTGAAGCTGTTAATCGAGCCAGAAGGCCTTTAGCAAGGTAATTAAAACAAAATAACATTTTAAAAGTGTGACTGTTTTCTCCCCCATGCTTTATGAAATTGGCTTATGAGTATAACTATGCATAACTCAAAGATGCTTTGGACAAAACACCTCATGTAACCTATCAATTTTAATGTTACAATCTGCTGAATCTGTATCTCTTATTTGATGCATGTATCATTCTTGTATGTAAAGTTAGAAATATGAAGTATGGGAATGAGAGCCATCAGTGGTTCTCAGGAAGGCTTACCCACTGAGTGATCCACTTAAGGACTTGTAAACAGCCTTGTTTTGTCCTGGAAGTCCTACAGTGATTGGACTGTAAGACATGTGACCATGCTAACTGGTACTAGGATTCCATTTTGACCAGGTAATTTCTGCCCAAGGAAAAGTATTTAAGCAGTGGGCAGCTATCAGTCCTTTAGTCTTTGGCTGTCCTGGGAAAGGGCCTGGCACACTAAGAGTGCATCTACACAGCAGGGCTTCACTCGAAATAAGCTATGCAAATTGAGCTACGTCAAATGCACAGCTTATTTCGAAATTGGGAGTGTCTACACAACACTTATTTTGAAATAGAGCACTCTTCCTCTGACTTCCCTTACTCCTCATACAATGAGAGTTACAGGAGTTGGAGTAAGAAGTCCTCCAGCTTGACAGTATTTTGACATTATTTTGAAATAACTGCCTGCTGTGTAGATGCAGACTAAGTTATTTCAAAATAATGTTGTTGTGTAGACATACCTTAGGATACAAAGAGATCTGGAGACCAAGTCTAAGTAAAAGATCATCTTTGACTTGAAGGTTTGCCTAAAATAAGAACAGTTTTAACATAAGAAACTGTTTGCAATAAGTTTTAGTGTATTAGAACTAACTGAGTTTTCTTTTCATTTAATTTTGATCTGTCTTCACTTGCAGCCACTTAAATCCTACTGATTCTACATAATAAAATCATTTTTGTTTACTATCAGGCCTGGTGTAAGTAATTGTTACCTGGGGAGCGGGCAACGTTCATATCCTTCTTTCATTGATAAAGGAATGAGCTTTCATTGTGTAAAAACCTTATGCAAAGAAAGACTGATTTACTTGGGGTTTTGATCCCTTTTTTTAAGGGTTGGTTTCCTGAGTGCTGTGCCCAAGAACTGCATTCTCCCAAAGCTGAAGTGGTTCAGTGTCTGAATTGCTCTTCAAGGGAGGTGGTTAACTCAGATCTGCTTTGTCTTGGGGAGACCAGAGAATCTGGCCCAGCAGAACAGAGTGGTGGGGATCCCCAGAGAGCAAGAAGGCAGGTGTCAATGATATGATCAACACACCAGGGAACACGCCCAAGGGGGTCTTCTGTGACTGCCCCCTTTACAAAAAGGTTCTAGGCTTTAATCAAATATACTATTTTTCTAAAAAGAAATTATGTTCTTATCCAGTATTGTCTGTTTCTTAGTTTTCCATTTTATAAAATGAGGATGAATAATGCTATTTCATATCCTGTCTGTTTTCTTGTCCATAGTGTAAGATCTTAATAAGTTAAATGCTCTTTGACAATGCATTTTCTACAATGCCTAATACATTACACTAATATCTGAATAGCAAGCAGCAGAGATTTTGTATATGTGTTTTGCCATTTAAACGTATGCATCATGAGATAATGTACGATTCCTATCAGCTGCTACTTTAGCCAGATATACCATGCCTTTTTTTATTCTCAGTTTGGCATTTGATAGTTAGTTTGTTTTTTGAAACTGTAACCCTGTAAGCACAGAGCAAAGAGCCTAGCTATTACATAGACAAAAACACCACATTAAAATAAAGTTATCAAGGCTATGTCTAGACTACATCCCTCTGTCGAAAGAGGAACATAAATGAGCCTGATTGAAAGTGCAAATGAAGCACAAATTTAAATATCCAGTGCTTCATTTGCATGTTCGTGTCCAATCACTGTTTTGAAGAAGGATATTTCGAAAGTGAAACTGCTATCTAGACGTGGGTTCTTTCGAAAGAAAAAAAAAACCTTTTTCAAAAGATCCTGTACTCATCATCTTTTGAGAAGTACAGGATCTTTCAAAAAGGGGTGGGGGTTCAAAAGAACCACGACTAGATAGCAGTTTCACTTTCGAAATGCCCTTTTTCGAAAGAACATTGTGACATGGTTATACAAATGAAGCACGGGATATTTAAATCCCAGCTTCATTTGCACTTTTGATCTGCCTAATTTACATCCCTCTTTCAAAAGAGGGATGTAATTTAGACATATCCTTAGATTGCAAAGTCAAGCATATAAAAGTTAGAAACATGTATATTTACCATTGACCTTACTACTTTAATTCTCTCCCTTTTATGCATCCAATCTGTGCATTGAATTACTTTTAGGACCCGTAGAAAAAATACTATATGATCATGTAACTTAAAGACTTACGCATCGGGTGAGTCTGAATTAAGGTTTTAGAAGCATCTGTAAATCCTGGCATTCCCTAGCTTTCAGATATTTAAGTGTCAATCTAAGCACTATCCTCTTTTCACCTGTAATAGTATTTCCAAATAATCTGGTTTTCTAAAACAAAACAGTTTTTTGTACTGAAACTAAAACACCCCTCCATCACGATTATCAGCAGGATTTGAACCCTAAACCTCTATCACAGGCTTTCACTACTTGAATTATGGGACTGGCAACATTAGCTGGCAGAAGAAGGCGGCTCTTATTTGACTTGAGAATAAGCCACTGGTCAGTTGACTAGTCCAATTCTTTCTTGCCCCTAGTGCCCCGCAGGAATGGGAGTATTGTATTGTATACAGAGTCTGGAGGAAGGAGTTGTGGTCTGATGGAATCATAGAATCATAGAATACTAGGACTGAAAGGGACCTCAAGAGGTTATCGAGTCCAGTCCCCTGCCCCCGTGGCAGACAAAATACTGTCTAGACCAGTGGTCCCCAACTCAGTGCCTGCGGGCACCATGGCGCCCACCAGGGGATTTATGTGCGCCCGCCGAAACATCTGGTCTGGCCCCGCCACTGGTGCGTGGCACATGTGTGGTGCTGGCCCCAGGCACGTGGCGCATGGGCAGCCTCAGCCCCGGATGTGCAGCACATGCGTGGTGCCGGCCCCGGGCATGTGGCGCATGCGTGGCCCCACCCCCGGAAGTGCGGTGTGTGAGCGGCCCCTGTGTGAGCGGCCCTGGGCGCCCGGCAGCCACGAAAGGTTGGGGACCACTGGTCTAGACCATCCCTCATAGACATTTATCTAACCTACTCTTAAACATCGCCAGAGATGGGGATTCCACAACCTCCCTGGGCAATTTATTCCAGTGTTTAACTACCCTGACAGTTAGGAACTGTTTCCTAATGGCCAACCTAAACCTCTCTCGCTGCAGTTTAAGCCCATTGCTTCTTGTTCTATCCTCAGAGGCCAAGATGAACAAGTTTTCTCCCTCCTCCTTATGACACCCTTTTAGATACCTGAAAACGGCTATCGTGTCCCCCCTCAGTCTTCTCTTTTCTAAACTAAACAAACCCAGTTCTTTCAGCCTTCCTTCATACGTC